TTATGAGTGGATTCAAGCATATAAATATTAACTTTAGAAACTGTATACAAAATAAGAAATTAAGGAAGGTCTCTGAACAGCTGGCAAAAATGTGTCATATTCCATTAGAAATAAAAGCTTCCATTCACACGTAAGATGGCAGCAACATTTGAGGGTAAGAGCAGAATAATGTTTTCAAATTGAAAGCACAGAATACTCACGCTATGCAATCAAAATTTTGCGATCTACTCGCAACTAGAATTTTTATGCCAGGCTGATTTTTTTATTGTAATACTGAGGTCCACTGATTTTAAGAAAATCAAATAGGAAACATTTTTTTTATTCTTTAAGCAAATATAATCGTTCGAAATGCTTCTTTGTAAACTTCTTTTAATTATCAAGATCTTGTCGGCATTTTTCGGAATCCGTCGTTTTTTTTTTGGTAATTTCCGGCATTCTACTGTTTTACTTTGCGGGATTTTTCGAACACTTTTGGGAGTTTATGGGGATTTTTATATTCTTTCGGCGCTTTTCAGGTTACTTCGTGTTTTATTTGTCTTCTTCCGGGAACTTTTGGGACTTTTACGGGACCCTTAGTGTTATATTTCGTGCTTTAGTTTTCAATATGATTTGAGACCTTTTCGGTAACCCTTCGCGTTTTTCCGCTATTTTCTGGCATTTTCGTGTTTTAATTTGCGAGATTTTTGGGAACCTTTGGGACGAAATGGGGATTTTTGGTTTTGTTTTCAACGGTTTTCTGGTTACTTCGTGTTTTATTTTCTTCTTTTTTCGGGAAGTTTTGTGCCGTTTACGGGACTATTCTAAATTTTTTAGGGACGCTTAGTTATATTTAGTTTAAAGAACTCAACTTTTCGGAAACATTCGTGTTTTATCCGTGATTTCTTGCAATTTCGTGTTTTACCTTGCGGCATCTTTCGGCAACTTTGTGTTTAATTTTACGAAAACTTTTGGTAGTATTTCATGTTTTTTTTTTTTGGTGCCGATCGAAATTGGTTGAGACCTACATACATACATACCTGTATTTTGTGTTTTTTTCAAGATTTTACTGAGACTTTTTTTATTTTTTGCTGTTGTTGTTGTTGTTGTAGCGGCTACAACATTATGTTTCGTAACTTTTGGTGACTTTCGGCCAATTTTGAAGTGTTTCGCAAACTTTTGAGACATTTTCAGAACTTGTTCAGATTTTTTTGGGTGCTTTCAGGCCCAAAATTGCATTTATATTTTTGCTTTCCTTTTTATGAAAAAAATAAACAAAATAATCTGAGTTTCCGCTCGAAATTGTAAATTTCAAGAGTCAACTAAAATTTGTTGCTTTAAGTTCTGCGCAGTCGGTGCACAG